GACAACTTTGTGTACTCTTTCTTTTTTTTAAAAAAAAAAAAATAGGGCTTTTTGCTGCTCTAACATTCCTCCCTCTGAAGAGGTAAGCCTAAAATCTTTTAGGAGTTAAATAAGAGCTCCCAAATACTTTTGACATTTTTGGTCTTTAGAACAGAGTATGTTCCTAAGAGGCCCAACTTCAGAGGATGGTGTGATAAGAATGGAAGGTAGCAATTGGCTAGGCAGTTAAGGCAAAAAGACCCCAAAGAAAAGTAGCCAGTTTCTTGGCTTAAAGTCAAGATTGTGCCTTTTAAAGATAAAAGGCTGGGAGCATTAGAAGCAGGGTGTGGTGGTAGCTCATACTCTGGAGGCTGAGGCAGGAAGATCTCTAGTTCAGAGACATCCTAGGTTGCTTAGCAAAACCCTATCCAAATTTTTTTTTTAAGTTAAGTGATTTATCAAAAAGGCATTCCTTGTGAATTCTTTCTCATATGCTTTTAAAACGCAGTGGGCAGCAGTGGAAAGCCTAACATGCTGTGAAGGCAACAGCCACGAGGCTAGAACAAGAGGATTTCATCCTGCTGTGGGAGTCCCCAGATGAGTACAGTGTTAGACCCTTGAAAACAGGGGGAGGAGGAAGAGATAGGCACTTTCAGTGGTTAGATTCAAGCCATGTGGCTGCTTATGTTGGTGGTAAACAATGAAATCTGAAATGATTGGCCTTCTCTATATTTTAACTCATTAAGACTTGAGGGTCAACGCCTTGAGGTCTGTGAGATTTTATAAGGAAAGGAAGAAGAGATTCATTCTCTTTAGGGAAGATGTCAAATCTAGAGGGAGAGAGGGAGGTAAGGAGCAGAGATGAGAGAATTAGATTTGGTGTAATGAAGTTTTAACGCTAACAAACTGGTGATTTCATGAGGTAGAAGGCAATTACAGGAGAGGCAGAATGAAGGAATGGAGACTAGGCTGAAAGTTTGCAAGACAAGCTAGCCCAATTGAATGGAAGGTCCTGTGTCTCTAAGAGGAATTGGACCCAGTGAGGATGGCTGTTATAATGAAAATACCTAGTGAGCCCAAGTAGGTCCTTCACTGCTTTAAAGTACCTGCTATCAGGGGTTTACTTCCGTCTCACATAGTTACACTTGATCATTTGTTCTTTTCTTTGGATCCCATTTAATTATTTTATAAAAAATAGTAGTCAAAGTTTGTGTGGTGCTTTTATAATTTCAAAACTTTTTATTTCAGAGATATTTTGATTTATGTATTATGTGCATATATGTGTATATACTTAATATCATTCAATTTTTTTATAGTGCTTAGAGGAAATGTTTTAAAACTTTTTTTTTTCTTCAGTGCTAGAGCTAGAACCCAGGGTCCTGTGTACACTAGGCAGACATACTACCACTGAGTCCCTTAAAAACCTTGAAAATCTGGGAAGAGGAAGGGGATCAGCAGGACTGGAGAAGGGGACAAGAGAGGGTAATGAGGTGGATTTTATCAAATTATATACATGTGTGAAAGTGTCATAGTGAAACCATTTTGTGCAATTAATACACACTAATTTAAAATGAAAGCTTTTTGAAGGGGGTTAATCTTGTTTTACCTCTTGTTGAAACCTTTGTTAAGTGGTTTGTGCTGACAGGTTTTTGTCTTTCAGGGGGTAGAAGGTCTGGGAGGGAACCCAGGGTCCTCTGTTGCTGGTTAGGCAGTCCATCTTTGAACTACATTTCTAGCCTTTTTTTTTTTTTTTTTTAAGCTTATCTTTTCTTTCAAAAAAGGCTTCTGTGGTAAATCAGAAAACAATTTTGGGTGTGTATGTGTTTGTGGGTACTTTAGAAATTTGCATAGTATTTTAAAATATATTCTTGGAGCTGGTAAATTAATTGTTTAGACTTTGGGAATCCCTTCTGTCTTGCTATGGTCCTTTAATAATACTATACTGCAAGGCTGTGAATAATTCACAAACAGCTTATTTCTCTGTTGGAATAGTTGAGCCTATCCTATATGATTTAGTGTGTGCTCTAGGTGAATTTTGTTTAAAGTAAACTGTTTTAAATTTAATTTTAAATCATAGTCAAGAAAATGCCATTTGCTCATTTTCTCTTCAAAAGCACATTTTTTATTTAAGATGAAGAATTGTTCTCAAATACAGTTTCATTGTCCAAGATCATATGGTATATTAAAATGCAATACGTTATTTAAAAATTTCCAAGTTAATTTTTCATTATATCAGAAAGGAAATGATTTGATTTGTGTGCTAAAGCCACCTTAAACAGATGCTGAAGTAATCTCTTGCTCGGCTCATAACTGATACATAGACAAGCATTTTGAGAGAAATCTAGTCAGTATCTAGATCAGAATCTAAATCAATATGAGAAATTTAAATATTTCATAAGGCAGCTCAATATTTTCTTTCTTTAGGGAACTTTTTGGTTAAGATTTCTGACCAATTGATAAGAAATTGTAAAAGCTGGGCGTGGTCCAGTACACCTTTGAGCTCTGCTGGCAGGCAAGTGGATCTCTGTGAGTTCAAGATTAGCCTGGTCTACAAAGTGAGTTCTAGGACAGCTGGGGCTACAGGGAGACCCTGTCTCAAAAAGAAAGAAACCATATTGTAGAGCTACATACTGGAATTTTGCCATCACCCCATCTCTTCCAGCATTCCCCACAGAAGGGCTGGGGAGCTGCTTAGTCAGTAAAGTATCTACCACACAAGCATGAGGACCTAGGTTTGCCTCTCTAGCACCCACATAAAAAGCTGAAGCATGAGACCTTTAAACCCTAGTGCTTGGGGAGAGAGGAAGAAGGAAACAGGTGGATCCCTACAGCTCAGTGGTAGCTAGTCTAGCAAAATGGTGAACACTAGGCTCAGTGAGAGACTTTGTCTTAAAAAAATAAGATGGATAGCCAAGCGTGGTGGTACACACCTTTGATCCCTATACCCACTTTTGAAAGAGATGTATCTTTGCTCTGGAAACTGTTAATGAGTATGTTAAAGCTGTAATGAAATGCTTCTTCAAAAAATTTTTTAAGTAAATAAATAAATAAATAAATAAATAAATAAATAAATAAATAAAAAGGTGGAGAGTGACAGAGGAAGACATTCAGTGTCCCAGTGCTGAGCTCTGGACTCCACATGCCCATGCACACACATTTATGTGCATCCATATGTGCATGCTTGCACAGAAACACGTACTCACACATATACTGTATATGTCGATACACACAATTAACCACAAGGAGCATGGTGTCCCCCAACAGAGTGTATAACCTGTTCTAGTGTAAGGGCTGAAATACCGATCTAAATTAAATCACAGGTTAGTTTTTTGATAAAATACTTTTAGTTTCTCCATATAATTTACCATGAGACTTGAATCCCTATGAACTTACACAAAAGTTTTTAAAGATTTGGGTGATCCTTTTGTCTCAGATTAAGGGTCAGAAGAGTTTTCCTGTGAAGTATAAATAGTTAACTTCTTAGGCTTTACCAAGATGCAGAACTGAAGATATAATGTAGATACTCTATGAGAAGAGGAAGCCAAGGATGAAAGCACTCTCCTGTAATCCCAGCACTTAGGGGGCTAGGACAAGGTGATCAGAAGTTTGAGACTGTGTCTCAGAACCAAAAACAACCTGACAAAAATACAAGAGGGGAGGGAAGAGAGAATCCAATATGAAGCCTACAATCCTAGCACTCAGGAGGCTGAAAGAGCAGGATTGCCTTGAATTTGAGACCAGCCTGGACTGCATAGTTCCATGCCAGCCTAGCGTACAACTGTGAGTCCCTGTCTCAAAAAAACTGAAAATATTCTATATGGACAATACTAATCGTATACAGTTTTTGGAAATTCTGGCTTCCTAATACAAAAAAATGAAAGGAAGGCTAATATTTTGTTCAAATTGGTTGCAAATGTCCATGTGAACAAATGATTGTTACCTCATATGTTATATGAAAGCATGTTGGCCCTAGCCTGTGGCCTGTAATTTGTTGACCTCTTATTAGATATCTTCTAATAAGCTGCCACAATTCTATGTTAGTTTTGGTCTTGGACAAGAATTAATGCTCTATTTTTGAAGATAGAACATTCAAAAAGAAATAGGTCAGTTTTAAGGACTTAAGTATGATTGTGATTTAAATATTGTTTGTTTTGGTAAAGAAATGAGTCATGGTTTGTCATTCTTATGGATAGCTGGCTTATAAGAATTTGTTGAATTTTTTTTTTAATGAGCAAAAATTTGTAATGGGTATCTCAAGAAAGGGAAAGTGAGGCCAAGAGTATGGACTCCCAAGGGTACAGAGTGTAGTTTTCAATATTAACTAGTATGTGTGTGTGTGTATGTGTGTGTGTGTGCGTGTGTGTGTGTGTGTGTGTGTGTGTGTGTGTAATGGGAAATTAATAAACACCTTTTCAATATTAAACTTTACTATTTCAACTCTTCCCTCATTAATTTTTTTCTTATGCAAAAAGTAGGTAGAGGAGGCAGGTTAATGAGCCTTTCTTAAAATGGCTAATATTTTCAGTTGTGAGAATGACCTTGATTTCTGCCCCCTTAAGCATTTTAAAGATTTTTAAATGAATATTCCTTTTTAACCTGCAAACCACAATTTACTCACAACTTATTTTTGTTGTCCTTACTTTTTATTTCTCCAGGATTTCTGTCTGTATAAGATATATTCATTCCCCAGTAATGAGACTTTATATACTCTACGGCAGCTTTGTTCTTGGTATGAATTATATACAGCATGTAATGAACTGCCCTCCAGAACGAGACTTTTATCTAGAGTGGCATTCACTGAGGTGTCTGTCTGATGGTGTGATGTTTCAGGACTGGAGTATTTGGTGTTTCTTGGTTTGTTGTAATTCATATTTTCACCCAAGTTTAGTCTGTTTCCCTTTTATTTTTGTGTCCTTCCTTTCTTTGTCCTCCCCACCTCTCTGCTTCACCTTTCTTTTTAGCAAAGATGAGGATTTCTACCTTCAACATACATTGTTGGTCTTGTCTTCTGTTTTTGTTAGGAGGGACAGCAGTGTGATTAAAGAGGAAATCAAAGCCTTTCTTGCCAATCGGAGGATTTCCCAAGCAGTTGTTGCACAGGTAACAGGTAAGAGCCGAAGAGCCCTTTCTTCTAGAATCATGTCTAGTCTCTGCCTTCTGTGCAGATGTGGGAATAGCGCTTAAATTCTGCATTGCAGTGCACATCTGTCAACCTAGGCAGGATGATGTAAGCCTGGGATTTAAAACCACTGTCTCTAATATCAGGGAGCTTCTCCAGTGATTTTCTTTTTTTTTTTTTTTTTTTTTAACTTGTACTAGTAAATTTTATAATATTTGTAATAAGTAAAACCTTCCCTATTTTATAACCAAAAAAGGGACTTCTAGTTTACTTGTAACAGAGTTGATGACACATGCACATCCTGCTGCAAGCTACATTTCATAGTTTTAAGAGCTGTGCAGTCCCCTAAATCTGATTCCTGTTTTACCAATTAAAGTGATTTGTGAAGAAAAAGAAAGTTGTGGGTTTTTTTGTTTCATTTAGTTTGGGGGCCTATTGTTGTGGCTTTGGCTTTTTTGTTTGTTTGTTTTTGTGGGGTTTTTTTTTTTTGTTGTGTTGTTTTGAGACAGGACCTCATAGAGTCCAGTAAGCTGGCCTCAAACTTATTGTGTAGCTAATCTTCCTGCCTCCACCTCCACAGCCAGGCCCTACTGAAAGTTGTGTCTTTTGATGACTTTTTGTATGTGAAAGCTTTTCTGTGATGAGAGCTGCCATTGCGTTCTCTTGGTTCTCTCTCTTCCATCCCATCCTCCACCCCAACCAGGTCCTGTCCCTGACCTGTGGTATGTATGTGTCGCTGTCTAGTCAGATTACATTTTTTAATGGAATCCTTAAATTTGAGTGTAAGCGTGCATTTCTGTTGGTATGTGGCCTTCATTCCTTGGATCTCAGTGATTTTTAAGATCTTATAATTTTAACTGTTTCTAGTCCTTAGAGAGACCAGAAATCTTTCCAATCCAGTTACATTTATTATGTTGTTATACCTTTTACATTAGTAGTTATAAAAATTAACTTCTCCCCTCTGTTTTTTTTCAATGTTACTGCCCGATGTTTAACTTTGGGCTTTTTAGCCCTGCTGCCTCAATTTTCATACTTCTGTGATTAAATACTTAGATCTGATCTTCAGGCGCAGCTTCTAATTTTGATATTCTTTGTGATGTATGGACATTGATACACACTGAAGTTAATGTGCTTAAAAGGTTGCTGCTGGTCATTAATTTGAATAAATGAAACGGGAGATTTAGAAGTGTTAAATTTTGTTCTTACACCTATCATTACCAGTCTTTTCTAGTTTGTGTATTCACTTGAGCGTGTATGGAATACAATGTCAGTGATACATTTTTATAAATGATGTCTCTGTTACTGTCCTTCTAAGTAGAAGGCCAGAGAAAGGTGTGTCTAATTATTTAGTTATTGCAGTCTTTCAATGTTTATCCATAGGGTGTTTAATAGAAATAAAAACTAGGTTACAGTGCTTAACATAGTAAGGAGAAGTTGTGCAGGCTTGACTGACACTTGCCGATGTAGAATGATGAGGTACTGTCCTCGAAGTTTTACTTTATCCTCTTAGACTAGAAGCAATATATGATCAAGTTCATAAGCCTGAAAAAAACAAACAAATTTATAGTATAGAACAGCTGTGCAAAGTTGATTTTGTCCAGAAGGAAGTATTTCTGAGTGTGTTGAATATATTGAATCTTGAATCATCTTGCCCTTTAAGTGTTTTAGATTACATTTGCTTATTTGTGAGTGGGGGGGGGGTGGAGAAAGAACACAGCTTGAGGGAGTCAGTTCTTTTTTTTTTATATTTTATCATCTTTATTTTATGTGTATGAGTGTATTGCCTACATGTATGTAAGTGCACCCATGTTGTGCAATGTCCATGAAGGTCAGAAGAGAGCATCATATTCCCCTGGAACTGGAGTTACTGGTTGGTAGCCACCATGTGGGTACTTGGAATCAAACCTCGGTTCTCTGCAAGAGCAGCCAGTGCCATCTCTCTAGCCCCCGGGGGAGTCCTCTCTCTTTTATCATGTGGGCCCTGGGGATCGAACTTGGATCATCAGGCTTGTGGCAAGTATCTTTACCCTCTGCACCATCTTGCCGGCCCTCTTCTTAATGTTTAAAATAATAATAGCTTTGGAGGAGTATCTAACATTGTTCAAATCATAGTAAAAAAGCTTTAAAAGGCCATTCTTATTCCGTAGTGGTCATCATCTGCCTGTAATCCTAGCATTTGGGCAGCTAAAGCAAAAGACTGTAAGTTTGATCAGCATGAGCTATAGGCATTCATGGCCATCTTGGGCTGAATAGTAAGACCATATTTTAATATTTATTGTTTTTATTTTATGTGTATGTGTGTATTGCCTGCTTGTAGGTAAGTGCACCCATGTCGTGCAATGCCCATGGAGGACAGAAAAGGCTGTCAGATCCCCTGGAACTGGAATTACGGACAGTTGTTAGCTGCCTTGTGGGTACTGGGATTCAAACCCGGGGCAAGACCATATTTTAAAAATAGCAAGGGGAAAACATTTCTTAGGTTTATCTGAAATCACTGTACCATAATGAATTAAACACAGAGTCTCAAATATTTCCATTTTAGAAAGAGAAAATGAATGATGCTTTTACATCTTGCTCTACTCATGACAGTCCATAAAACAGCAGTGTTGGCCTCACCCAAGTACTTACTTAGACATGTAAAAATACAGTGTTTCACCTCCAACCCTGCTTAAGAGAATTTTAACCAAGTCTCACAAGTGATTTAGATTTGAGAACTATTCTAGGAGCCTGGTACCTTTCCTGACATGACTGTCAGTTGATAAGTATTGATAGCATTGCCTCACTTAGTAGCTCATCTCCTGGTTTTGATTGGAAGAGCTAAAATACATTCAGACATTTATTATCTGTTCTATCACATGAGCTGTCGTTCTGCTGCTGTTATGATGGGGTTCAGTAGTGTTACAAACATCTTCCCCAGGTCAACCTTGTCTTCTTCATTTCCTTTCTGAAGGATTGGGTTCATCTTTAAGCAGATATTTTTGGTTCTCCGTTGCCTGAAACGTGAAATTCTTACTGTGCAGTGCCAATATCCTCTTCATTGCCATCTTCTGTTCAGTATACTCACATAGCTGAATTTAACCACTTAGAATTTCTAGAATCACGCTATTTTGCCTGATTCTGTGTCCTTGTTTATACCTAGGAGGCCTTTTACTCCCAAAGCATAACAATATGAATTCCCACTTACCAGGACTGCCTCTGCTGTCCTGCTTATTCTGTTAGGGTGCCATTCTTCCATTGGCATAGTTCCCACCCTGTGGTGTATTGTTCTTTCAGTTAGGCAGTTTCTTCAAAGGCACTTCCCTTTTCCACACCTCATCAGAGAGCCTCGCATTGTGCATTCACTCTGAACACTTCACATCTACCTAGCTACCTCACAGAGCTCTGTTGTGGCAAAGAGGAACCTTCAGTGGCTTTAACACAAACTGTATGTAAAAACCTTATACTGTGTGGCTTCTCCTGGAATGATTACTTGCTTAACAATTACATAAGTTTTAGTACATAAGTTGTAATTTTTTTTTATCTGCAAAGCCAGAGAATGAGGCAGTTAATAACCATATTGGTTTATTTATCCTATTATATAATTTACTTAATTGTGTCACTCATGTATTTTTAGTTCATTACATTTGTATCACAGCCTGTCCTGCCATCAAGCAAACAGAAACCGAGCTTCTCTTTTCTGAGAAGAGGTCCCACCAGAGAACAGTGAGTTATCGAGAGCCTAGTAAAACCTGGCCCTCATTGACCCTCCAAGGATAGAGTGAGCCCGGGAAGGAAGCCTTCTAGTCCAGTCTACTCAGAGTTCCTCCCTGGAATGCTTGCTCATTGCATAGACATGGTTTCTGTCTTTAAACTAGTCAGGGGTATCTTAGAAGAATATCTACTGGTGAAATCTACCCCAAAATAAAGTTTAGGATGTTGTGGTCCAGAATCCTGTTCTGTAATAGATTTTCTTAAAGACATTGGAATTCACCTCTAATATGTGAAATCAACCTTGAGATAAAAATGAGAACGGATGGTGCATAACAGCAGAAAATGCTAAATAAAAACAGTGAGTGAGGTGCAAAGTGACAACACATGTTCCAGAAACAAATGTAGAGACTTCTTTTTATAGATCTGGAGGGTTTCTATAATAAGATAAACAAGAAGTACATGGGTGGGGTCTGTCTAAATAATAACCTACTGATAGGAAAATGGCGTCTAAACAGGACATAATGACAGTGCTGCTCATTTCCCAGCGTGTGATTTGTTGCTTCCTCCTGTGGCACATGCTCCCACGTAGGGCGGACTAAACTCTGAGAGGTCGGCCAGGGTTCTAGCTTCTCACTAACAATGATAGGGTGGTGAGCATCGCCTTTGCTTAGTAATGAACACGTGCATTTATGTCCATGCAGTAAAATGTTTTTTTAGGCTATTTAGGAACCTAAAACAACAACAAAGAAGTTAATAACCTCTGGGAAAAATCAGGCACACAGAATAAATGAATAAATAGGCAAAGGTTGATGATGAGTGCCTATCGGCCAGAGAAACAGACTAATTGGAGTCATATTCTAAAGAAACGAATGTATGGACGAAGAGAAAACACTCAGCACCTCTGAACTAAGGCGTTCCTCCCAGCTGTGCTTCTTTGAATTGTGCAGGTATAATGAGAAATGAGCAGAATGTCAGGTCATTGGTCAATGAGTCATCTTGTGGTCCAGAGCCTCGTTTTCCTGGCTTATAAGATGGGACTTTGTGTTAGTCCATATAACAGATTGCCATAAACTGCATAGTATCCAAGCATAGAAACTTGCTTCTCATGCTTCTGAGGACCAGGAAGCCCTGAGATAAGGCAGGTTGTGTGTCAGTGACAGCTTGCTTTCCTGGCTCCTAGGCGGCACCTTCTTGCTGTGTCTTCATGTGGCAGAAGGACTGAAGGGTCTTTGGGCCTTTTCTTCTAGGGTGAGAAGTTCATAAAGGTCTACCTACATGACCTAACCATCCCTGAAATG